TATATATATTAATAATAAACACTTCACACATTAGAGACAGTTCAACACCTCTCTTGTTGGTTTCCAGGTACGATCCAATAGGAAACTCAGGGCACTTGGGAAAATACAATGCAGACCACTGAGCTTACTATGAACATAAATTTACATAGACAGCACAATGTTAACAACATCATCTGAAATGCAAAGACCATACTGGATCCAGCACACTCCTGATACAACCATGCGCTCACGTACAACACATACAGACGCCGAATAAATAAATGCCCAACAATCTGACGACCCCTTTAAACCAGCCCATATTTGGCATCCAATTCCTCATTATTCTGTGAACAAACCAATCTGTATTTACAAACCAAATATATTAACTTTAGATTTTCCTCAGATGGAGGATATATGATTCAATAAAAGCTCTTGAAGACCCCACTCACGGTTGACATTCACCTCCACCGATCTACAGTCGAAGCGGAGGGTTATGATTGCCCTCTACTGGCTTGAAATGTAATTGCACAACAGTGTAAGTAGATGGTAAACAATGTGCATGCATGCCACGCGCAAAAGACACAACACTGTACAACATCGAAACAGCTGCAACATGATACTTTTCTTTAACTGACTTGAATTCCAACCGCAAGCATTATCCATACAACACTAACACATCTACTGGCAGGGTGCACAAACTTATGAGCGCTACCCCAGAGAGTCATGGGAGGATAACAGCATGCTGACACAGGTTTGTTCGCACTAAAATGGGAAGATCACCGCTTACATAAATGACTAAAGGCACTTTAAACTGTCACCAACACAATTAATACTCAATTTATCCATACAGGAAGAACACAAAATCAGAAAAGTGCAATAAATGGGAACGTATAACAAGAACAGACCAGTAGAGACTTCTGGAGAGCAGATGGACTTAGAAATATTGACTAATAATATTGATTTTGTTGATATTGATATAATGAAATACTGATATTGTTAGACTGTATTTTTTGTTCGTTATTTGCCATTGTATTTGCTCAAAGGACACTTTTAGTACTATAGTTCTGTACATAAAAGTAGCAGGAAAGATATATGGAATATTTTAAATGGTGATTTGCATTGTGTTCACGTCATACAATATAAACTCCATATTATATAGTATGATGCCTGAAGACTCTGAGCCATATTGCTATTCCAGAGTATGTGCATATTTGGTTTTCACATTGTTGAGGTTTGGACAAAAATAAACCATTTTTACACTACAGCTTGACACTTGAAGGATCATGGGGTGTGGCTGATCCTATGCCAACTATTTTAGTTTCCTGTACTAATATTCCTGTACTGGTTGGTAAGGTCAGTGGTAGGACCTTGGGGTGATAATAGAGGCGAAACTATGTTGGCATTTGTGGAATACTGATCTTCAGAGCTTGAATGGATATGCTGATGTGAATGGAAGAGTTTAGATGGTTTTGGATATTCACTCTGCAGCCATCTGCTCAATGTGGTCACACAGCAGCTTGTATTGCTCTGAAAAAAGGATAATAAAAAGTGTGAATCATATTGTTTTTTTGAAAGAATACTTTTACTTGGCAGTGATGTATTAAACTGAACAAAAGTGACAGTAAAGACATTTATAAATAACAGAAGATTTCTGTATCAAGTAATTCTGTTCTTTTTAACTTTTTATTCATCAAAATGCATCAGTTTCCACTAAAATATTAAGTAGCACAACTGTTTTTAAGACTGATAACAATAAAAAAAAAATGTTTCTTGAATATCTCACAATAGAAACTGTTTTGATGGTATTTATAACAATAAATGTTTTTTTTTTTTTTGGAACAGTACTGTAATTAATGTCACAAACCTATAAATGTAATTCTTTTTTTGCAAATTTGGAACAGAAAGCTGGAAAGTGACATTACCTTCATTCAGATTTCCAATGACTGCCTGTTTCTTCAGGAAGTCATTGCAGAGTTTCTTGCTCAATCCAAAAGCCACCATATTATGGGTGAATGTTCTGGATAAATAGAAGCAATTATTTATGAGCATATGAGCATACAAAACGATGCCCGAAAAATCAGCAACACGTTATCAGGCATAGAGCGCCATCCTATAATCATCTCCTAATGTTTTCTCAACAGTTTTCAACATTGCTAATAATAAGACGCATGTGGCACTGAAGACTGGTGTATAATGGTGCTGAAAATTCAGCTTTGCCATCACAGGAATTAATTCGATTTTTAAATAAATTACAATAAAAAACAGTTCTTTTAAATTGTAATAATATGTTCACATTACTGTATTGTTAATCAAATAAACAGCCTTGGTGACCATAAGAGACAGGTTTTCCCTGTTAAGGATGCTTTCATACTCCATAGATGAATCTAGAATGAGGACTTATAATATAATAATGCAAGTAACAGGAAAAGAGAATTATATTTGTAT